CGTAGCTTGGGTTGTTGGGTTTACTTAAAGCAGATTGGGACAGTTGTGGGGTGAGAACACTTGCTAATGCAGGTTGCAGGTTCGGGTCTGGTTGTGTAATATTGGGTTTGGGTTGGAAGCAGGCCTTTAAAAATCAGACCCATGCAGATCTCTAATATATTTATCACTGTTAAAATTTTGAGACATATCTGACATTAGCAAATCATCAAGCTAATATAGAATCATGGATGACTGCAGTTTGTATGATGCAAACTTCTGTCCACTAGTAATGAGACTGAAACTTGCAGGCACAAATCCTATTCCAATGTATTGGTCAAATTCAGTGGTCTAAAATGAAATTAGCTTATTTTAAAAATAGTCTAGTTATGTATTTGTAGTTGCTCTTGAATCATCATGTATCATATCAAAGGTTAAATATTTTTTTTCATTTGGCTAAAGGTACTGGGGATGGGCAAGGTCTGCCAATAATTCAGATGTAATTAATGTCCCTGCTTGCAATTTCACAGAATTCATATACATCTTGTCTTTTATAATGTGAATCACTTTCCAACATATGGCCATTTATATGGGATGACATTTGTGATTTAATTTTATAAATTAGATAGAAAATAGCCTTGGAGCTTAGCTTCTTTTGTATGATACCTGGACAGTGTATTATAGAATGTTAAGGTCTGTTTTCATCCTCTTCTTCAGTGAAGCCCAAGTAATACAGTCCATATTTATATGAAACTAAAACATTACTGACATCACCTGCTTCCATCTATTAAGAGATGAGACAATGAGAAGATGCACAGACATGTGATGAATGCACAGCCTGGAACTTGAGAAAATCTTTGGCTTCTTCCAGACTCTGTTATATGCATTCTGCAGGATTTTGGCAAGCTACATAAACTCTTTGTACCGCAGTTCATTTTCTGTACAAGAGCTGTAAATAATCATAAGGATGAATATGTAGTAAATAATTATATTGACTTCGGGAAGAGAAACAACAATGGTGTGCTTCTATGCCTGGGTCACCCATGCTGCAGGGTTTTTGGTGTCGCCATGTTGATCTAAGGACATAGGCAGGCAAGGTTCCTTGGGTAGATATATCTTTTATTAGATATTAGTAGATATCTTTTATTAGACCAACTGAGTAGTTGGAACAAAGT